AAAAACCGAGAAATCTTCTATTCCCGCCAAAACCAAAAATTTCATTTTTTTGTCAAACCAAGAATCTTTCCTACCGAAACAAATAAACTACAATTTTCCGCAAAAACCCAAAATTGTATTTTCTCACGAGAAATTGTGTTTTTCTGTGAAAACTAAAAAAATTGTATTTTTCCACGAAAACAAAAAAAAAATCACATTATTTGTCAAAAATTGAAAATTTGCATTTTCCAACAAAACCAAGAAATTATTTATTCCCGCCAAAATCGTCAAATTCTAATTTTCTGCGAAAACTAAAAATCATATTTTGCGCGAAAACCAAGAAATCGCATTATCCGCCAAAAGCCAAAATTTTGCATTTCCTATTAAACTGAGAGATCACATTTTTGTCAAAACTGAAAAGTTGCATTTCTCATCAAAACCGAGCATTTTTCTGTCTAAACTAAGATATTTTGTTTTTTCGTCAAAATTAATTTTTTTTTGTTTTCTCACCAAAACCAAAAATTCACATTTTCTCGCCAAATCTGAAAATTCATTTTTTTCCGCCATAGCCGAGAAATTATGTTTTTAACTAAAAATCACATTTTCCTACCGAAACCAATAAATCTCATATTCCTGGCAAAACAGAGAAATTCCCTATTTTCGCCAAAGCTAAGAAAAAAATGTTTTCTCGTCGAACCAAGAAATCATGTTTTCCTAATAAAATTGAGAAATTGCATTTTTCCGCCAAAATTGTCAAATTGTATTTTTCAACAAAAATTATGAAATTGTATTTTCGTACGAAAACCAAGAAATTGCATTATTCATCAAACATAGAAAATTGTGTTGCCCATCAAAAAACAAAGATTTTTTTTTATTTGTTGTTATTTATTATTTGGGCTTTAGTTTGACAAAAAAAAATATTTTTTATTTACTGTTATTAATTATTTGGGCTTGGATTTGGTAAAAAATAAAACAAAGATTAATAGAAAAGGTATTTGGGTTTTTAATGGATTTAAGTTTAAAAATTAAAATAAATAGATGAGTTGTATTAATAAAATATTTTGATTGGTGAATATTTTTGCTGAGGTGTCATCTTTAGAAAACTTCAAAATGCTGATGTGTCATCTCTAGGAGAGACATTATTGCTATTATTGTATTGATTATCAAGTAATTATTTGAATATGAATAGAAACTGAACGGAAAATTTAGGATGCGTGATGGAAAACTCAAGATGTGTACGGGTCTGAACGGATACCTTATCGTAAGTTGGGCAGGCCTAAGTTTTATGTCTGAGTTTCTCTTATAAAATGATCAAAGTATATGGAGTTAACCACTAAGTCACGGAAACCGAATATCTACTTTTGGTTCTTCATACAAATTGTAAAGCTCCCCTTTTGATTCCTCATACACATTGCCTGTTTCACGACTCCGATAACTTCCATTGATCATACTCCTCATCACAAACACAACGGGGTGTTTTCTTTACCCTAGATTGTGACACAACAACTTAACACTCGATTTGGAATCATATCATATCAACACAACATAATATGAAATTCACATCAAAGCATCGTATACAAGCAAACCAACCAAAACATTAATTTCGGTCCTAGATGCATCATATATTTTGAAACATATACTTGCACATAGTAGCCAAACAACACACACAACATCATAGATCAAACATATTCCATTTCGGTATTCCTTTGTGTTTATTTATAAAAGCGCCATTTTGGTATTCCTACTCCGGATATAACTTCTAGGGATGGTGATCATCATGTAAACATACAAGAGAGAACAAAAAAAGATGAATATTTGATCATAAACTCACAAAAGAAAGAAAAATTGCAAATCTGAGTGGTTGCGAGCGGCTCACAATGTCTGGTATTTATTTCGGTGAGAAGGCGGATAAAATGAGGTTAGAGAGAGAGAGATAAAAACAAAATTCCTTTAAAAGGAGAGGGAGAGACAGTTTTAGAGGAGAAAATGACGTAGATAGAGAGGGAGAGTTTTAGTTAGAAATGGTTTTGATCAGTTTTGGAAATGACACATGAACCATGAATGTATCCACACAATACCGAATCTAGCCATAATGGTCCAATCAAAATCGACCACATCAGCTTACTAGTTTTTTTGTTATTATATTTAATTTGAATTTAAATTTTTAAAGAAAATATTCCAAAATAACCTCTAGACTATTCTAAGGAAAAATGCTAGAAATATACTAATATTTTATAACCTAGCATATCTTTCTAGTAGTTTGTTTTATTTTATTAGTTTTATTTTAATTAAATGGTTTTTTATAATTTAACCTTCTCAATTTAGAAACCTATTTATATACATAAAATGCAAATATAAGAAAAGTTGGAGGCAGTATTAACGGTAGATGCAAACAAAAATATCTAGAACTTGAAAAATGATATTTTCTCTGCTTTATAAATAGTATCATTCTAAAGTTTTATTTTTTTACAAAAAATGTTACTTTGTAAGACAATTTTATTTAGAAAATATGTAGTTTTAATTTATTATATTAATATATTAATTAGAAAGAGAAATATTTTTAGTGTATTTATAAAAGGTAGAATAGAATTTTTAATAATTTTTTTTGATTGATGTGAAAAAATATAATGATATTCTTTGTAAAATAGAGAAAGTATACAATAACGATATTTGAGATAGAAAAGATGAGGATATTGTTGCCATATGTGGATTATGAATATTTGTACTATGAAAAGTTGTATTGTGATAAACCGTCTCAGATTTGCCTCTATGGTCCACGACGTGGCTTCCAATAGTCCGAGAGAAATATATAAAACCATATGTGATGGTTCTTGGGGTTTGACTGTAATTGAGTGTCTTCTTATAGCATCTGAGTTGTTGGGTTTCAGGACTTTGACTCGAGAGTTTCTTAGTGGTTAATTGGATGTTACTGTTGACTTCTCTTTTTTTGTATACGACAGTTAGCGTGACAGTTTTCATGTTTGGGTCTCTGGCAGTGCCTTAGAAGTAGCTCTGATTATAGAGCTTTTCATTCTTCCAAACTTTCAAGGGGTGAGATGGGTTCTTCAAATAAGTTCAAAGCACCAGCAGGTAAGACTATTTCTAAGATATTTTTTATTTTTTCGTCTAAAATAGAGTAATTATAAATTATAATTGTATTTTTTTCAATTTATTTATATTTTAGAGAAAATAGATATATCTACATTTAAAAATTACTCCAAATAAAAAATAATAATCTCTATTTTAAAAATAAAAACAAAGGTGAATTAAAAAATATTTTAGTATAAATTAGAAAAAATAAAAGTGGGTTATAGGTCCTCTAACTAGTAACGAAGAGGAGTTGGGCTACACCCATTGGAAGCCTCCATTCAACTCACTCTTTGAGCTATTTTTTATGTCATGTGTTAGTGTTACAACGAAATTTTGGAAACGTGGGTAATTAAAGTAAAAATTATTCTCTTTTTTGTTTAACAAGTAAAAAATATCCATGAATTCAAAATTTACTCGCCTAAAAAAAGAATTGATGCGGTAGAAAAAGTTAAGTACGGCGAAAAAAAAGAAAACAGAAGTAGTTTGGCTACCATCGAAAGAGTTGTTACAGTGGAAAAAGTTCTGTAAACCTGTTTTATTTGTTTATATATAAAGTTTTATATATTAATTTTTTCATAAATTTATTTAAATTTTTTTATAACAAAACTAGTGTAAAATTTTATAGTTTAAATAGAGAAAATTCTTAACATTGACTCAATAAATAATATTTATAAGAAAAACATATATTTATGAACTCATTGCCATTCTAAGGCGATTATCATAAATAATTGATTTCTGTGTTTTTTTTGCCAGCCTTGACTTCGACGTCGGGTGTACTCAGTTCTTTTCTTTCTCTTTGTTTATAGATTTTAGGTTTTATTGCAATAATCATTGATGATAGTTATTACATTAATTATCTTTATCAGCTTTTTTGATGTATCATCATCTTCAATGCCTTACTTTCTGTTCTTCTCTCCAAAAGAGTGTTTTTCCAACCAAATTTCGGTGCTTATCCAGAAACACTTGTGTTGGCTTGCTTCCGTTGAAGTTTCCTTCTATTGGTTTTTGTTGGTTTGTGACTGACCATTTTCTTTAATTCATAACCAAATCCAGATGATGGATGAGTCAGATCTTTCTCTATTCAGAATGATTCTTCACAATTGGATCTGAGATATGGGAAGAATTTAGCATCGCATATTGAATGGATCTTAATATCAATTTTCGAAAATACCAAGGATTTCAACATAAGATTTTCTTACGACATCAATGGGATTTCAATCTTTCACTCATCGATTGGATGGTGGTGCTTCAAGGAAGTCGATATGGAGGAGAAGGAAGTCGGAGTCATTTTCTTGTAAGATGATTCAGATTCAGAGTCACAATATTTTAAATTGATACTGGTACAGAATGTTTGGTATCATATTATCTACTCTTTCGGATTATGTTTTGGACACATCGGGTTATAAGATGTGGTTTGCAAAAATATTCAGCCAAGAGATACTGCATTTATATCACATCAGAAAAAGATCAAATATAAAGTTAGATAATAACCGATTTAGTGATCAATTAGCGAATAAGACTATTTTTCATAAAGCGTCGTTAAACTTTTTTTTACTATATTTTTTTCATTGTATGACATATATATCTGCGTATTTGTGCTCTGGTAATTTTGTATCATGATTCTATAATCATTTATTTAAATTATTAAAAATTATTATTAGCCAAAAAAGAAAAATACATACTATTTTTTATTTTTCAAATAATACATAGATTATTAAAAATATCTTTATATATACTTAAATCAACAAATAGCAGAGAGTTTACACTTGCAATTTAACCATGTTAGTATCTATACTTCCTCTATTTTTAGTAGATTAATATTTTAGGTTTTTAATAGATACTAAAAATAATTATTACCAACTTTTAATAACTACTTTTTTCTTTACTTTTTACTTTTTATCAATAAAAGTAATATAAAATATTTCTTTAAAGTACAATATATTAAATTAATTCTACAACAAATAAGAATAAAACCCAAAACATCAATTAATTAAAAATAGAAGAATATACAGTTAGCTAAAAACAACATTAATTTTGAAAACAAAAACCCAGAACATCAATTAATTAGAAATAGAGAGAGTAGACAGTTAGCTAGGAACAAAAATTATTAATTGGACTATCCTCCAAATAATTAGTGCCACATGAAATTGTTTTTGAAAACCGAATTTGTTTATTTAATACTAGGACAAATTTTAGTAATTTTGTCATAACTATTCTCATAGTTGATTGTCCGAAAACAATTATAGTTGGAAAATAAGGGAAATAGGAGAAATGAAAAAAGCACATGCGGTTTCCTCTCCTTCTTCCTGCAGGTTAGATGTCCCTCTCTTCCATGGGGGCTTATATATTAATGAATACGAGCTTCGGTGAGTTATTAATTATGAGGCATTTGTAACCACAGACCCTTCTTTTCAATTTCTATGCCTCACTCTCTCTTTCAATTACAGAATCTTTGGCCTAGAGAAAACCGGGAAACATCCGTCTCGTGTGAATCGACCATTGATTTTATTTGGGAAAAAATCTAAAAATCTCTTTGATTTCTTTCCATTCTCTTCCTGTGACTAAAATTTCGAGATCCAAACAAGAAACAGCCAAAACCTTTCAACATTTTTTGTTTTTGTCGGAAAAGAAATTGAATTTTAGTGGAATTGGGTTCTTTCAAAGAGAAGGAGATGGTCGAGAATTTAAAGAATGGTGTCGCCATGGATGTTCTTCCTAGAAACAGGTCCGATTTATTCGATGAAGATGGCCGTCCCAGGCGAACCGGTAAAATTTGTTTTTATGTTCCAATTTTTTTTCTGACAACTTCCAATTTATGTCTTTATTGAAGCTACTATGTATAACTTGGTCAAAGAGTTCTAATTGTTTTGGAAAAAAAAATGTTCATACCAAAGTCAGATGAAACATAAAACTAGTCTCTAAAAACTTATTATATGACCATGTGACTTCTAATGAACTCTGTTCATGTTTTTGTGGCTAAAGGCTAATCACCTAATTCAACAAATATTATTTGGAATGGAACAAAAGAAAAATATCATTTCAACTACTCATTCTCCTGTAATGAAAAAACTTTCTGTTAAAATTTGTTCAATTTTTCTAGTAGTTGAATGAGAGAAACTATTTGTGCTCAACATGGTGAGGACCTTCTCTGTTTTATCTTACCGAGTATTTGGTAGAAAAAATTCGGGTCTTACGGTGACTAATGCATGCAATAGTTAAAATGATATACACCCATTTTATTTTTCCTCACTTTTCATCAGGAATAGTGAAAATATAGAAGAGTGCTTTGTTCAACCTGCTTTTATTTTTCTAATTGTACACCCATTTGTACTCAGAACATGATTGTGGAAAACAATTAGATCCGTGGTAATTTTGACTTCTTTTGTGTCTTTAAATTCAGTTTTAATTTTATGGTGATATGATTGGTTTCAGGAACGGTCTGGACGGCAAGTGCACATATAATAACTGCAGTAATTGGGTCAGGAGTGTTGTCTCTGGCATGGGCTGTTGCTCAGATTGGTTGGGTGGGTGGTCCAGTAGTGATGTTGCTCTTCTCTCTCGTCACTTATTACACTTCTATTCTCCTCTGTTCTTGTTATCGCTCCGGTGACTCTGTCACCGGCAAGAGAAACTACACTTACATGGATGCTATCCATGCCAACCTCGGTAAATTCATATTCCCCACCTCTGTTTTTTTGTTTTTCTGTTATAATCATTCGGAAATTTTAGTATGTCAGATGAATAGTATGCCAGATGAATTATGGAATAGCAGAATAATCAAGTGATTAAATAGAGGAAAATTTTGAAATGAATAAATTTGATACGGAATAATCATAAAACCTTAAAAACCCTGGTTTTAATAGGTAATGACGTTTTGTTTGTTTTAGTTAAATTTATATAGCGAAATATATTTTTTTTTTAAAATGTGAGAAAGTGGAATACAGTATCAAACTGAATATGGATTCCTTTGAAATTTTTTTTTTCAGGTGGCTTTAAGGTGAAAATATGTGGAGTTGTGCAATATGTTAATCTCTTCGGTACTGCAATTGGGTACACAATTGCATCAGCTATAAGCATGATGTAAGTTCAAAAACTTTAGTTTTCAACTCTTTTGTTTTTTTTATCATTCAAAGTCTTTCAAAAATTAGATGCGTGTCCCACTTTGCTGTTCAATATAGTCCATACAAGTCACTGAATTTTTGGCTCAATAATGCACTTTCGAAGTCAATGAGACCTAAATAATAAGTCTTTAAAGAATCTGCAACAGCTTTTTGTTTTATCCGAGATTCTACGGCTCTAAAACGGTGTCACTGTTATAGATTCTCCTAGTGGCTTCAAGGTTTAATTATTGTTCGTTTTTGTGCTAATTATGATTGGAAAAAAACAGAGCAATCCAAAGGACGAGTTGCCAACGTAATGGTGGAAACGATCCATGTCTTGTAAATGGCAATCCTTACATGATTGGATTCGGAGTAGCACAAATAATATTCTCTCAGATTCCGGATTTTGATCAGTTATGGTGGCTCTCAATTGTTGCTGCAGTCATGTCTTTTGGTTATTCAATCATTGGACTTGGCCTTGGCCTCTCCAGAGTTGTAGAGAACAAAGAAATGAAAGGCACTCTCACTGGAATTAGAGTTGGGACAGTGACACCTTCAGAGACAGTGTCACCTATAGATAAAGTATGGAGAACCTTTCAGTCTCTTGGGAACATTGCGTTTGCGTACGCTTACTCCATGATCCTCATAGAAATTCAGGTATTTGTTTTTTTAAATTAAATGTAAAATTTATTCAAACAAAAAAAAAAGTTTTTACAACAAGTGCTTCATGAGTCTTGATTTTTTCGAAAATTCAGGTATTTAATATGCAAGTATGTATGAAGTCCCATTCGGGTTTAAACTATAGGTTTGTTTAAAGAATGATTTAAACAAGACCGATTTTCGATGATGCAGGACACGTTAAAATCACCACCTGCAGAAGAAAACACGATGAGGAAAGCAACTCTCATCAGTGTGGCAGTGACGACGTTCTTCTACATGCTCTGTGGCTGTGTAGGCTATGCAGCATTCGGGGATACAGCACCCGGAAATCTCCTCGCGCAGGGCGGATTCCGAAACCCGTATTGGTTGCTTGACATAGCTAATCTCGCCATAGTGATCCATCTAGTGGGAGCTTACCAAGTCTATTGTCAACCACTCTTTGCCTTTGTAGAGAAAGAAGCCTCCAAGAGGTTTCCAGAGAGTAAGTTCGTCACAAAGGAGACCAAGATTCGCCTCTTTCCGGGATGCAAGTCTTTTAACTTGAATCTCTTTAGGCTGGTGTGGAGGACGATCTTCGTGATTGCAACAACGTTGATCTCAATGTTAATGCCTTTCTTCAATGATGTGCTTGGCCTCTTGGGGGCCATAGGTTTTTGGCCTCTAACGGTTTATTTCCCTGTGGAAATGTACATTGTACAGAAGAATGTGCCGAGATGGGGCACAAGGTGGGTTTGTCTACAAGTCTTGAGTTTGGCCTGTCTTGTTGTGTCTGTAGCTGCGGCTGCAGGATCTGTAGTTGGCATTGTCAATGATCTCAAGATTTACAAACCTTTCAAGTCGGAGTTCTGAGAGCCTTCGAAAAAATAAAATAAACTCCTGCAGTAGGGATGAAATTAGAATTGAAATGTTGTAATATTATCTTTAAATTAGTTAAATTAACTCGGCATAAATGTTTGATATTAACATTCTCTCTTTTTTCGACCGAACCCTTTGGTCGAGTTCGTATTCACGTTCATATAAATTTTATGAATTCAACAAAATAGACTACATTAAAAATTTTATAAATCATCTATCTATCTATCTATACTAAATAAAAGGAACTATTTGGGGCTCTTTAAGCTATCCACCTCAGCTTTTCAAACTACTCTAAAAATATGACACATCAGCAAAAAATAATAATACAAATTCCCACTTTAAATTTTTTTGAAATACACATAAAGTAAATAAATAGAACCAAAATTAATATAGTTAAATACAAGAGTAAATAAAAATAAAATATTATTTTTTGAATCAATAAAATAAATATTATTTAAATCTATAGCATCAATATATACTCTTTTGTTTGTAATATAACAAATTAACAATAATGAAAATTCTCACTTTAGATTTTTTAAAATACACATAAAATAAATAAATAGAACCATTAAATTAATATAGTTATTAGCAAAAACTAAATAAAACTATATATCATTTTAATCAGTAAAATAAATATTATTTAAATCTGTAGCATTAATATATACTCATTTTTGTCACTAAAATTAATATAGTTACCAACAAAAGTAAATAAAATTAAAATATTAAATCAGTAAAATAAACATCATTTAAATTTATAGCATCAATATATACTTCTTTTGTTTGTAATATAACAATAATAAAAAATTTCACTTTATATCTTTTGAAATACACATAAAATAAATAAATAGAACCACTAAGTTAATATAGTTATTAGGAATAGGTAAATAAAACTAAATATCATTTTCTAAATCAGTAAAATAAATATCATTTAAATCTGTAGCATTAATATATACTCCTTTTTGTAATATAGTGAATATATTAGACAATAAATTGCTCTAAAATAAATAAATAATAGTTAATAGAAACAAGATTACAAAATAATAATTTCTAAAATAAAATTTAAAACATTTACAAATTATAAAAATCTAAAACATTCACCTTTTAAAAACATACAGATTAAACATCATAGTACGTTAGATTTAAGGCAACCAACAAGACAACATAAATTATAGGAAGCTTTTCAAAGCATCTATCTATATGAAGATTTTGATCATCGTTACTATTTACATTGCAGAAAATGATAGAGATAAGAAGAATTTCATGCACTGATATTTATTCAATGTGTGTCTTAGTTGGCTTAAGGTAGTCAAGTTACTACAAGCGATACATGTCAACACATGAGTTAAACAGTTTATAAACAAAAATTAAGTTTTAGATGACAGTTAATTTTTATATATATCAAGTTAGTAAATTTTTAAATTAAATAATAATGCATTTTTGAAAAAATAACATACACATTTTTATGTAGAAGAAAATGTCTAAAAAAATCTCTAATTATCCACATCAACAAAATTCCTTATAAACCCAACTTGAATGAAAAACTAATATGGTTTTTTTTTACTGGGTTAAGAAACTTTTTTAAAAATAATATAATATATACTATTAGTTTAATTATAAAGGCTCATCAAAATATATATGTGTAGTTTAAGAAAAAATGTTTAAGTTAAACTACAAGCAAAATTTTTTACATCTTTTGAGTTTTGAGAAACTCAACATACTTTATTTAACATAATGAGTTAGTATGAAATTGTATTTGTATATGTATTACTTGCCTTATTCATCTATATTTTTTATAGTGTACGTGTACTTCATAGACCAAATCAAAATTGCATTTTATCAATATGATTGTGATTTTTTATACTATGTAAATATTATTTTTATTTATATGAATCATAGTTATTTTATAGATTTATAAGAGATTAGAATATTGAGTGTTGTTTGTATTTGAGATTGCTAATTAAATAAAAACACTACACGAACACAGTTGAAATAAAAATAAAAATCTAAATTAATTGAAACAATAATAAACAAATTTAGTCAAAACAAAAATAATTTTAATAATATTTTGAAAGTTAGTAGTGAATAACATTGAATTTAACAGTTAATTTTAGCATATATCAAGTAGGTAATTCTTAAAATTATATCATGATACATTTTTTGAATACGTTAAAATATTTTTGATGTATAATCATATCAAAACAATTTTAAAAATTAAATATTATATTTAAAATATTAACTTAAAGTGAAAATAATTTAACTTAAATAATAATCAAATATCTATATAAAAACAATCCGCGCGTAGCGCAGAAACATCCCTAGTTACTTATAAAAGTTGATACTAAATGCTTCTAAAGGTGCCTACATATGATTTAAAGATTCAATTCTATTGATACACATCATTATTATCTTTAGTTAATTATATATTGTATATTAAATTAATTAATTTTGTTTTTTTTTATTTTTGAAAGGAAAATTTTTAATTTTTAGTTAATTTAGTTTTTGTTGTTATTAAGAAATTTTCTAAATTTTAAATTAGTTATTAATAAAAAAGCTAGAAAGTAGATCTTATTTTTCTATTTACAATAAAAAGTAATTAACATATAAATAGATTATTAAGGAAAAATCATATATTAAATAAAATAATTAAAAAATATATTTAAGACCATCATTAAACAATTTCAAAATTTTAATTATGATAAACAATTATAATCTGAGCTACTAACTTAAAATATATTAGTTATGGTCTATGTTGATATTTTATACTGATGAAAGCATCTACATAGAACATAGAAACTCAATTTGATTGGTCAAAATCAACGTTTTTTACTAAACATAAAAATATTAAATATAATTAAAAAGTTAAATAAATTAAAAATATAAAAAATATAAATTATCATAGTATAATAGGAAGTTAATATAAATTATCATATATATTTGAAATGAGTAATTAATTTAACAAAAATATTAAAGTTAAATTGTTATATTAACATATAAAATTGTTATTTAAAACTATCAATACTACAAAAATAAATTCATGTTAAATTAACAAAAAAAAGTCATCAAAATTTTTGATATATAGCCTAATTATTTAGAAAGTCAACACAAAAGCTTAATTAATCAAAAAATAATATTTTATACTATTTACCGAAGATAAAAATATTTAACTAACAAAAAACAAAACAAAAATTATTTTTTACACCATGTCAATCAATTAAAATGAAAATTCATATCAAAAAGGTTAAATGAACAAAGAAAAAAAAAGGAAATTAACTTGATATCTATGTTATTTATTTAACAAAATCAATATAAAGGAAATTAGTAAGAGAATAAAAAAACTTAAATCATACTAAAAAACTTAACTAAAGAAAAAAAGATAAATATTTAAGCTACTTATTTAAAAATAAGTATTAAGAAATTAATTAATCAATAAATAAAACGAAAATTAATTTTTATAAAATTTTATATTTAAAAAATTCATCTAAAAAAATTGACTTGATATATGACTAACTACTTAAGAAATCAATATAAACAAAATTTAACTAGCAAAATAACAAAAAATAAAATTATGTCTTCAAAAATGTCAATATTTTGTGTTAAAATAAAATAGAAATCAATATCAAGAGAGGTAAATTATCAAAGGTAAAATTCGTATAAAATAAAATTAGCTTGATATTTAGACTAATATTTTCGAAAATCAACATAAAAATATGAACTAAAAAAACAATGATGGTATAAGCTTTTGAGATAAGTCCACATAAAATTTAGAATAGAGAAATGACCTCTAATACACTCATTTTAAGTTTAAGTTCCACAAATACACAACACGCTACACTATTTTCATCACGTAACATTTTATAGTTAAGATTGCCCAAATTACCCTTATTAACAATGACTGTTCTGTTTTTTCTTTTTGAATTACCAGCTTTTTGAATTTGCGACGACGAAGAGAGTTTCGATCTTCTCCGGCGACGATGAAAGTGTAGTTCCGATCTTCCCCGGCGACGACGAAGAGAGTTTCGATCTTCTCCGGCGACGACGAAGAGAGTTTCGTCGACTCATTTCCGGCGACGATCTCTGGCGATTGAAGAAGGTCGATTGCCCAGCCTTTCACGATTCATTTCCCAGCTTCACCGGCGACAATTGGCCACAATTGAAGTCGACGATAGTTTCGCGATTCATCTCTGGCTACAGTAGACGAAACTAGAGCTTCGCCACCGAGGAAGTTCGGAATCCATCGACGACGACGACATATTCGATCATTTCAGGAAGGTACATAAATACCTTCCGAAATGTTCGCAAATGTTCTTGAATCGAAAACAATTTTTGAATTTTTATTTACGAAGCCAACCTAAATAGAGTGTTCGTAAATCCTTCGATTATAGACTATGATTCCTCAATTATAGACATTCTTTAGTCATATATAAGGCTGTTTTCAAAGCTTCTTGTTCATCGACTCAAGATCATATACTTCTTTGTGGTTGCTTCATTTAGTATATTTTTCTGTTCTTCTTCTTAACTGTGTTTTTGTTTTGTAATTCACAGAAATATGGTTGGTGTATATGTTATTTGTGGCGACTAGAAATTCGGAGGGAATCATCAGTGGGAGTTTGAAGTAGATTTAAGCAGAAGAGGTTCATTCTCTGTTGTTGGTGAAGATATCACATATGAAAACCTTCTAAGGGTTGTGAAGGCTGATTTGGGAATGGATGATATTGTAATCACTCTCACCTACAGAGATCCCTTTCTGACAGGAAGTTTAAGATATGATATTCCCTTTCAAATCAGAAATGATCGCCAAGTAAAAGGCTTCTTCATAAAGATGAAAGAATCTGCTGGAATTCTTCGTTTGTTTGCAACGATTGAGAATTTTACACAACAGGTAACATTGTATGGGTAATTAGTGAAACAAAATTAATGTTGTTCGTCAATTTTTTTCAATCATTTGTGTTTTATTTCTTTCCTAACTATAATTTCTGAAAATTTTCTTAAGCTAGTGTCTGCAATAATATTTTAAGTAGCAAACAAGACCAAAATGAACAGGTACCTTCTCTATTCATTTATGAAGCCTTCCTAAATCATTTACTCTTTTACAAGTTTCAATTAGGAAGCCTTCCTAAATGTACGCAACTGTTTTTTGACTCGGCTAGTATGTATATATTTTCTTAGGCTACCGTCTGCACTAATATTTCTAGCAGCAAACAGGACCAAAATGAACAGGTATCCTCTCTATTTCTCGATTTTTCAGTTACCATGAGTTTAAGAATAGCTCCCAAATGAGAGAAGTTCCTTCCTAAATACTCGTGTTGTTTTTTGTTTTCAGGCTAATAGTAGCAACAATCATTCAAGTACCACGTACACCCAAACAGAACAGGTATCCTATTGCGTATATATTTGCCTCAGTTTTCGTTATTTTTTCGGAAGCGGTTCCGGAATGTATTCCTAAAACAGCTCTAACTTGATTCCTAACGTGGAAGCGCTTCCTAAATATGATTTTTCTTTCGTTTTTTTTTTTTTACAATTCTAACTGATATAACATTGTCTTTAGGATATTGGAGTAAACACTCATTCAACCACCACGTACAATCAAACTGAAGAGATATCCTATTCCTTATATAATTGCTTCAGTTTTCGTGATTGTTTTAGGAAGCGTTTCCGGAATGTATTCCTAAAACAACTTTAACTTTATTGCTCATGTGCACGCGCTTCCTAAATTTGTCTTTTCTTTCGTTTTCTTTTACAATTCTAACTGATGTAACATTGTTTTTAGGATATTGGAGTAAACACTCATTCAACCACCACGTACAATCAAACTGAACCAGTTGAGAGCAACATTTCAGTCACCGAAGCTACTGAGGAGACATGCTCTACTGCTGAAAAGGGAAACTATTTTAGTGGTTTGCTTCCTGCTGTAGATCTTCCTCCAGTTCCTATAGGACTACCAGCTTCGACTGCAGGAAACAATGATATTCGTGTGAATCAGTATTTCAAGAGTAAAGAAGAGTTAATGCAGAAGATGAGGAAGTATGCACTTGACAGGAAATTTGAATTCAGAACTCGTTATTCAGACAAGTCTAGGGCTATATTACGCTGTGTGGATGAGAAATGCAGTTGGCAGATGAGGGCAACCAAGCTTGTTGATTCCGAATTTTTTGTGGTGAAGCACTTTGTTGAGATACATAGCTGTGATACAACATATAGAAACTCCAACCACAGGCAAGCAACCTCAAAAATTATTGGTTCTTTGATATGCAGTGTTTACTCAGAGAAGAAAGATGGTCTTAAGCCAAAACAGATAATGGAACTTGTAAGATTGACTCATGGGGCACAAATTAATTACAAGAAGGCTCGGAGGAAGAAAGAGCATGCTCAGAATTTGGTCAGAGGAGCTCCTGAAGAAAGCTACCTAAATTTATCTAAGTGGTTGTGTAGGGTTCAAGAGACCAATCCAGGATCAAAGTGTTTCCTAGAGAGAGATTCTGAGGAAAAGTTCAAATATACATTTGTTGCATTTGGTCAATCCTTAAGAGGTTTTGAGTACATGAGGAGAGTGATTGCTGTAGATGGCACATTCCTCAAAGGCAAGTTCAAGGGTACTCTTCTAGGAGCTTCTGCTCAAGATGGAGACTTCCACCTCTATCCTTTAGCTTTTGGTATTGTAGATTCCGAAAATGAAGATGCTTGGACTTGGTCTTTTAGAGGATTGAAGTCAGTGATCCCTGATGCAAAGGACTTGGTGTTTGTGTCTGATAGGGCGCCATCCATTGCTAAAGCTCTGTCAGTAATATATTCCCTCGCCCATCATGGTATTTGCAGAGTTCATCTTCTGAGGAACATCAAAGCTAAATTTGGGAAGAAAGGTCTTATCCCTATGGTGGAAGCTGCCGCGGATGCTTACACTAAATTCGAGTTCAATCAGATTTTCTGTGATTTAAAGATCAGGAATCCGACACTTGCCACATACTTGGAGGCTGCAGATTTGGTTAAGTGGTCTAGATCCTACGCACCTGCTAATAGATACAACATTATGACCACAAACATAGCAGAGTCTATGAATTCTATGTTAAACGCTCCAAGGGAATTGCCTGTTATTTCCTTACTTAAGACTATAAGGCTTACCCTTACCACCTGGTTTCACGAGCGCAGGATAAAAGCTGAAAAGCTTGACAAGTATGCGACACAGAATGTAACAGAAAAAATTTCCGAACTCTACGATGAAGAAATGGTCTTGGATGTCTACCAAGTGGATGAGAACGAGTTTGAGGTAAAGGATGACTCTCACAAGTATGTTGTGCATTTGAAGAACAAGCATTACAGTTGCAACATCTTCAACATAGACAGGATCCCTTGCGTGCATGCTGTAGCTGCTGCTAAACGCACAAGGCAGGATGTTTACAAGATTGAGATGATTTCTACACCAAAGAGACATGGTCTAAAGCTTATGCTGAGAGCATACATCCGTGTGGTGATCTATCTACGTGTTCCTTTCCTGATAGTGTGTATAATTACCTATCTTGTCCACCAAACACGAAGCTAAGCAGTGGAAGGCCACCAAAGAAGAGGAAGAGAGCTGCAGGAGAATTTGGGGTCCCTAATTCTAAATCCCAAGGACACAAGTGCAGCAGATGTGGAACAGGAGGACACAACAAGACCACATGCAGGAATCAGATATGATTCTCGCTGTGGAATGTCCAAGGGATGCGGAAGCTTTCTTATACATTCAAACTATAGACTGATTATACATTCGTTTGTTCAACATTGTTTTTCAGAAGCTTTCCAGTTATTTTTGGAAGAACTTCCATAGCCATTTTATGTTCGTAACTTTTATCTTTTGGAAGCTTTCCAGACTGTTTCATTGTTTTCTCAACTATGTTCCTAGCTTTTCTATTTTAACAACGTAATAGAGAACTTAGGAAGGCTTCCTCAATTATTTCTCTTTCCCAAGTTTATCTATGAAAGCTTCCTAAATCATTTAGGATGGCTTCCTAAATCATTCTATTTTACTGGGTATCAGTTAGGAAGGCTTCCTAAATCATTCTTTTCGTTGGTTATAAGGTAGGAATGCTTCCTAAATCATTCTCTTTTTGCTGGTTATAAGCTAGGAAGGCTTCCTAAATCATGTTCTGTTTCCCAAGTTTATTTTTAGGATGGCTTCCTAAATCATGTTCTGTTTCCCAAGTTTATTTTAGGATGGCTTCCTAAATCATGTTCTGTTTCTCAAGTTTATTTTAGGATGCCTTCCTAAATCGTGTTAACATAAACAAAACCACGAAAAAAGCTTCCAACTCTATAAATGAAAGAGAACACACCTAATTGCATAGTTAGGTAATATAATAAGTCGGTGTAACGGTTAATAAGCGTAGTGGGACGTATCGTTTCGTGGTAGAAATAGGGGGATCGTGTCGTTTTGTGGTAAAAGTAGGGGGATCGTGTTGTTACATGGTTAAAATATTTTTTTCGGCATGTGGTTTTGTAAATCTCTCTTTACGAAATCGTTCCTAAACTAATGTTACCTCTTCCTAAATTTGTCCTACATCTTCCTAACACTGTGAAAACTCTATTTTTTTCAAATAATTGCATATCCCTTCGTTTTCGTAACGGTTATTTAGAATAACTGCATATCCCTTCGTGGGACGTGTCGTTTCATAGTAACATTTGAAAACAGTTAAAATTGTAGAGAACGTGTCGTTTCCTGGTAAAAACCTTTTGCTATATATAAGGCATCCCCTGTGTTCAGATTTTGAAGAATCCATCCCATAATTTCCATTTCGAAAGTGCACAATGTTGCGTCACTTGTCCATGAGAACACCATCTAATCACGATGCGATATCTGATTTGCGTACAAACGAGAGTGATTGGAGCATCTGCGTTAAGATCCTTCGGCTTTGGAGACAACAAAACTTTTTTGGCGAAACTTTGGAGATGATAATCTCTGACGAGCAGGTCATTCTCCGTTACTTCATTTTTTGGAAATGATAAACTTCGACTTTTTTTTCTAATCAGTCATGTTTTTTTTTCAGGGAATGCACATATCGGCCTCTGTAATGCCAGGAGATATGTTGAAGTTTGCCAATTACTTTCGACAAAATCAGTGGTACACCATCTACAATTTCTACGTGGAGGATGCTTCTGCTGCCGTGCGCCCTACATTATCTAACTATCATCTGATTTTTCACAGCAACACGGGCGCCAAGAGTGCTGACCACATGATTGAGTCTGATAGTCTATTGCTTCACTGGCCTAGTTTTAGGGATATCAACCGCCGAGTGTACGAGATCGGGAGCCTAATTGGTAAAAATTGCTTTTCGATTTCAGTTTTTTTGTTCTGCTCTGTTTTTATATAATTTTTTCTATGGATCTTAATCAGATGTAATGGGGACTGTCGTGAGGATGGATTTTTTGGAAGATCATAGCAATGATGCTTTTGAAGAAGATTTGTCTCACCTCCGTTTCGAAATAGAGGATGCGAAGTAAGTCAAATGTCCTGTGTTAATGATTTTTAGGAAGTGTTATTATGAAATAATTTTCTCTCTATTCTTTAATTTTAGGAGAGAATTTACGATTACCTGTGTAGCGCTGGGAGCCATTGCAAGAGAGTTTCACGAAGCGTATATGGCACACAATTCCTATGGCGATGTTTGCGTGCTACGCTTTTGGAAAATTTTAGAGGGTAAAAGTGAGTAGTGTCTGCCTTATTGGTTGAACATTTTAATACAATAGAATCCTTTAGAAAGTCTTCCAAAATCATTTTCTCTTTCCAAGTGTCATTTAGGAATCCATGAAATATTGCTTTGATTTGTTGTAAGAAAAGACGAGAATAAGATTGTCATGCGCTCTCATTTCCCATGCTCCGAATTCATGTTTAACCCAATTGATGATGCAGTTTTCGGATATAAGAAAGTGTAAAATTTCAAACACTTCTCCCTATATATACTTTCTCGCTGACTGAACATGTAACTAAAAGAAATGTTTTCATTGTTTGTCTGGTGCAGAAGAGATTACAGATATTGAAGGGAAGTGGAAGACTGAAGTAATGAGGGATGCTGAAGTAACCAAAGACCTTTTTTAATGTAGTCCACAAGTGTTTTTATGTTTTTATTTCTTGATGTTGAATCACATGTGTTTATTATGTATTCTGTACCAAGATAATATCTATGGATGTTGTACTTTTGACATATAATACAATATCTATTTATTCTTTATTATTTAGCGCACGACTAAATGAATTTTGGGATAAAATTTGTCACTCAAGAAAAATTCTCACATTTTTTACATTTTAGGATGTGTTCTGAATAAGTTAGGAATAGGATCCTAACTGTGTAAGAAAGAACATTGTCGAAAATGTTAGCTCGCGGTTTCTAAATTTTTACAATTGTTTTTGTAACTTGAAAGTGAAAAAGAGTTTATCAATGAGCGTAAGTATATATGATTAAAGTAGATGAAATTGTTAAGAAAATTTTCATGTTTTTATCAAAGCACAAAAAAATACTTTTTTCTTTCTTTTCCGGAACACCTTCCTAAAGTACTTTCAAGTTTTCCTTACCTTCCCGGAAAATTTTTCTAATCATTTTTATTCATTTGGTATATTGAAACACTCTTACGTTCCTTGATTGAACACTTAAAAACAGACTAATTTACCTTCGCAATGTTTAAATTATTTTTTGTCAAAGTGAAATTGTTTACAACGAACACTTTTTTTATCAAAGCATAATAGTTACTCTTCTCTTTCTTTTTCGGAAAACCGTCCTAAAATAATATCAAGTTTTCCTTACCTTTCCGTAAGCTTTTTCTAATCGTTTTTATTTATTTGGCATATTGAATCACTGTTACGACGTCCTTTGATTAAACACTTAATGTCATATAAAAATATGGGAATAAATTCATAAAAAGCCTAGAGAACAGTGAAGGATTCGTAAAAATCTCGCAAGTAAATCTCAAGAAACATAACACAACTTCAAAAAATCTGTAACACAATTAATCTGAAACACAATTAATGTTTAGCCATCGTAAACCACAATTTCGGGATGTTGCTTCCTCTGCTCAAATGAAAAACAAATAAAATGGTAAACCTACTTTTTCTTAAAATGATCAAAGATTTCCCAAACCAGATTGCTCCTCAGATCTTGAACAACTTCATCACAAATTCTTGAAAAATCCTCAATCTTCACAGAGTGGCACTCAATCATCTTGAGTACAAAGATGCCACAGTTGGATAATGTGCTGGACTTTGCAACTGTTTCCTCAAAATCATATACCACTTCGAATGGAACGAGATTCTGCATTGGCTTTATTTTTTCTGCAACACAAAGTAGTGCATGGATCATCTCTACAAAATTATCACAAGTTAAATTCAGAAAAGAATATTTTCCTTAAATTCATGAAAGTAATCGAAAACTACGAAAAACCATTTTTGGTGAAACACTTTACCTACGATATCATTGGCGACCTGTAAAATACTTGCCTTTGGCTCTTTTGGATGTCTGCAGCTAAAACACTCGACTCGCCTCTTCTTCATATCTATCGCTAAACCAATACAGTGTAGAGAAGTCTTTGGTTTAACCATTCCATAGATGAAATCAACATCCTTCTTCCAGTTTTTGTTTGGATACTTGTTCCCCTTTACAACTTCAATCACATTTTCAGGAAAATCTTTCTTGCACCGAGGTTTCTTCAAAATGTTGTGGAAATCTAACAGCTCACTGAAGAACATTGAGTTGCAGAAAGCAGCCCTTGGGAATCGATTGTTGTGGAAATAAGCTGCATGCTCCTCTCGTTTATCATTGAATAGCATCATTGCTGCGTCTACCTCCTACATGAATATTCAAAGTCTTCCAAACTTATTTTCGTCTAGGAAGCCTCCCTAAATAAAGTTGATAAAACTTGAATAATACCTGTCCGTTAACACGAGTTGATGGGTTCTCCAGTCTCCTGAACCAAGCTCCATTTGCTTGGATTTCACCAATGCTGCATTTTTTATTATATATTGTGAACTCAATCAATTTACACAGAATTTAAATTATAATATAATATCACATTATTATAATACTATATACCAACCTTACTGTCTCGTCATTATCCATCCAATCTTGATAAGCTGATAGGAGCTCATATCCTGGGGATTGAAACAGATCCAACATAGGATTTGGTTCAGGAGTCGTGATTAGAGCTGGGTTTGGCGGCGCTCTGAAGGGACTTTCTGTACTCTTATTTTGTTTTGGGTCTCGGTTGCTCCTCCTTAGAAACGTTTTCAACCACTTAGCCGGACGATCACTTTCATCATCAACTCTCTTCTCCTTTGCTTTTGTGTTTGCAACAGTAGGACGGATCCTCAACACATCCACAACCTTCACATGTTTTTGGAGTTCAGCAGCAGACTCTTTGTTAGCACTTGTATCCATAGCAACAACAGATGCTGTATACTTCTGGAAGGATAATCCCTTCTTCTCCGAAGCAACCTGCAACGTACGATTGATACAAGTTTCAGGAAGTAAAGGTTAATGGTTTTGTTTTAAAAAATTCTAACCTCATCCCTCTGATTTCCCGCCCCACTTGGTGATGGTTGCCATAAAACAATAGCCATAGAATTTGTTCCCTTAACATTCTGCAAAAATACAGATTTTTATGGAATATAAAAAAGTTTTCTGGAAGAATTGACAGATGTTCAGGAAGACCATACTAAAATACCAAAACGCAAAAGAATGCTGATTTTCTTACTGTAGTTTCATTTTCTTCCTGGCTCCCATCATCATTGTCAACTTCTGTTTGTCCCTCGCCTACAATCGTCTCCGTCGATGCAACCACCAGCGGGGTTTGTACCTGGAAACACAATATTTTTTGGGTTAGGAAGGTTGACAGATGTTCAGGAAGATATTACTAAAATACCAAAAAGCAAAAGAATCTTGATTTTCTTACCGTAGTTTCATCCTTTTCTTGGCTCCCATCATCATTGTCAACTTCCGTGGGTTCAGTGCCTGCAACCGGCTCCGTTGATGTAGCCACAGGCGAGGTTTGTACCTGGAAGCCCAACATTTTTTGGATTAGGAAGGTCTGACAAATGTTCAGGAAAACCTTACTAGAATACCAAAATGCAAAGAATCCTGATTTTCTTACTGTAGTTTCATTTTTTTCTTGGCTCCCACCATCATTGTCCATCTCTGTGGGTTCATTGCCTCTAATTGTTTCCATGGATGTCGATATCACAGGCGGGGTTTGTACCTAGAAGTCCATCTTTTTTTGTTAGGAACTATTAACACATGTTCAGGAAGACCTTACTAAAGTAATGAATTCCAAAAGAAACAAGAATAACTAACAGTTTGTTGCTCTTCCATTGGTTGGGTCCAATCTTCCTTGTCCATTCCTGTTTGTCCCGCGTCTGCAACCGTCTCCGTGGATGCAACCACGGGCGGGGTTTGTACCTGGAAGCCCAACATTTTTTTGGGTTAGGAACGTTTGACAGATGTTCAGGAAGACCTTACTAAAACAACAGAACACAAAAGAATCGTCATTTTCTCACTGTAGTTTCATTATTTTCTTGGCTCCAATCATCATTGTCCATCTCCGCGGGTTCATTGCCTCCAACCGTCTCCATGGATGTCGATATCACAGGTGGGGTTTGTACCTGAAAGTGTATGATTTTTTGTTAGGAACTTTTAACAAACGCTAACAGTTTGTTAACTTTTAACTTTCAACAAGCGCTAACAGTTTGTTGCTCCTCCATTGGTTGGGTCCTCTCATCCTTTTCCATCTGTGTTTGGGCCTCCTCCTGTTCTTTGCTACTCTCTGTTGTCTCATCATCGTTCATCTGCAAAACAATAGATGACAGCATATTAGTCCGGAAATTAACACAATATTTTCGGAAGAGCTTCCAAGCGTTTTGGAATCTGACCTTGTGAGTAACATCTTCGTCACTGATTGGCTATGTGGTAGTAAGGGACTGTACCAGCTGAGTATCCTGTTTCTCCGAATTTGAATCTGCCAACTCTTTTTCACTCTGTCAAATGCAGAACTTGGTCAGGTACATTTAATATAATTTTTCGTGGAAAAACTCTCTTAGCTGATGAAAATGCAAAAAAATCCAAATCTTATTACCTCAGCAGTAAAAAAGATCTCCTGTGTTGGCACCTGTCCTGGATCTCCCTCAGCTTCAGGTATTTCTTGTGTTGTGGGGGATCTCTTGTGTTGGTGTCCCTTCAGGTATTGTTGTTTGACTATTTTCGGCTTGTGTTAGCGCTTGTTTTTGATCACCCTCAGATGCATGAGATTCAAGCTCCTGTGTGGCACCTTGGGGAATCTCCTCTGTTGGTTGACTATCTTCAACTTGTGTATCATCCATGTTTTCGTCTTCAGTTGAGTCATCCGCTTCAGTTGAGTCTACATCGTCAGCTACAACCGTTGCTGAACTCCCCTTGTGCACAGGTGTTCTCTGGTAACCACCTTCGGATTCCTGCAAATCAACTTGTTAAATCTCACATTCAAAGTCTGACATCTAGGTAAAAATCAAACATAACATTGACAGAAATAGGGAAACTTACGGTAACTTCATCTTCCCAATCTATTCCCAGCTTCTCTTCTATCTTATGCAATCGATCAAAGATCCTAAGGTTACTTTCTTTAACCATTAAAATAATACTGTCCAGCTTTGCCATAATCGTTGAATGCGAAGAAGAAGGTATCTCTGCCCTCGTATTAAAAACTGAACTTGAAGCTTCAAAAGTCTCCGCATTATGAACCATGACAGAGTTTAATCCAATGGTCTCTAGGGCATCAACTAGATCAATTTTTTTATTTACCCAATTTCCTAAGCTCAGGGAGTAGCCTCTTGTAAGAATTTCAGCAAGTTCTTCAAGGTCAGGATCATCTTCGTCTTCTATGCAGACTATGTCCTCAGCATCACCTGATATAGCAGGCAATTTGAAGATCACCTTCATCTGTAAGACACAAATGGGAAAAATGTTAAAGATATTCAGAAGGCATCCTAATTCATTTCGTTTCCCCATGTATCATTTAGGAAGTCGTCATAAATCTATGTATCATCTAGGAAGGCATCCTAAATTATTTTCGTTTCCCCATGTATCATTATAGGAAGGCTTCCTAAATCTATGTATCATCTAGGAAGGCATCCTAAATTATTTTTGTTTCCCCATGTATCATTTTAGGAAGGCTTCATAAATCTATGTATCATTTAGGAAGGCATCCTAAATTATTTTAGGTAGGCTTCATAAATCTATGTATCATTTTAGGAAGGCTTCCTAAATCTATGTATCATATAGGAAGGCATCCTAAATTATTTTAGGAAGGCTTCATAAATCTATGTATCGTTTTAGGAAGACTTCATAAATCTATGTATCATTTTAGGAAGGCTTCCTAAATCTATGTATCATCTAGGAAGGCACCTAAATCATGTTAACAAAAACAAAATCACGAAGACATCCTAAATCATGTTAATATAAGAGACGAAATACTTACATCAGGTGATCCTTCTATGGTGAGAACTTGGTTTATTGAAGGAGATGTTGTGTAAAGGTACTTCTCACATAAGAATGCAGAGGACGAAATACTGTTGCTGACTGTTGAGAAGGCAGTCTGTAGCATAGGGACCGACTCTAGCAACCACAAGTGGAAGGCAAAAGGGTAACCCTGAAGAACATACTTCGCTTTATCCAAATGCGAAGGCACCCTTGACTTGATGGATGCTAAGAGCAACTCATACGCTTCCCTCCCCCAATGATAGTTCATCATAGTGTTCATGTCTTGCGCTCTCTCTATGAAACTTCTCGGAAACTTGTACTCCTTGTATCTCCCAAACAGCAGAGACTCTATCAGCACCAACATCCCTAAGGAAAACTTCTCATCATAAGCATCTTTTTCAGCCCTGAGCATCTTATCGATCAGGTCTTCAGTTGAGTGAGACTCTGCCTTCAAATCATCCCAATCATAAACACTTGCTTCTGGAGCAGCTTGAGGAGTCCAAATGGAACACTTTAATCCAATGACCATATGAAACTCTCTTATTGAGAATCTCAAAGGATGCAATCCAAAGTGGAACCAAAGCTCATTGTTCTTCTTCGTTATTAAACTTCTTGTCAAGAAAACATGGATCATTTTTCCTGACATTAGCATCTTCTTTGAGCTCAATTTCAGAAGAGGCCCAAAAAAAGAATTTCTGATCCTGTTAAACTGTACTTCCCCCAGTATTTCTTCGACTTGCTCATGAATGATGTTTTCGAGTGTTGGTCAATGGCCTTAAAATTCTTCCTAGGCTCTTTCCCAAATTCGTAATGCAACTTCGGGAGTGCTATCAGCGTAGAAGGCTGTGAATCCTCCATGTTGTTCCTAACACGCCACATACAACAAGTAAAGAACAATTTTTGTCATCAAATTCAAGACTTCGGAAACAAACATTGCAGAATCTGTCAAATCTATGTTGTTTGCTGATGCAATATCAAAATCAGTAAATCAAAGCTTTGAATATATGGATTATTATCAGAATCTCAAGTTCATAACTTCACAAAGTCAAAGGATTCATATTTAATGTCCAAGGCAAAATTGGTGGTAAGAAGACCATTATTTGATTTAGCTGATTTTTGTCCTTTTGTTTAAATGTAAATAATTTTTATTTATTGTAAAGACCTCTTGTAAGGGCTATAAAAGCTCATGTATTATCATTTGTAAAATACAATTGAAATTTTTGGAAATATAAAAGAGAGTTTTCTCTAAAAGCTTTATGCTTGTTTTGTTTATCTAAGTTAGATGGATTTCTAAACTTAGTAAACGATTGAATCTATGTCTCTTGTGTGCGATGCCTTGAGACTAGATTTTGTGTATTATCACGAGACTTCCACATCTTGTGTGGTACACTTCGATCCATCAGTTCTCATGTCCATTCATCAGTCCACCGGTCCAATTGCCTGAGTTTCTCGGCCATTGAACCACCTTCACATTCATCTCCATCTCCATCTCTATCAATCCGCTGTTTGAAGATCTGTTCATCAGAAATATAAGCCTTGAAGTCGAGTTTCTCCTTTGGTGCTTGTATCATTTTTGGCGTCCCAGGGAGGACTAGGACATCAAGTCATCATCATTTGCCAAAGAGGTTTTGATTTCACGATGACCTTAGGAGATTGGGTAAATAAAAAAATTGATCTAGTTGATGCCCTAGAGACCATTGGATTAAACTCTGTCAAATCTAATTAAGCATCCCAAATTTTTTGGAATTTTTGTTTTCTCCTATGATGTAATCGAAATAATCAAAACAGCGAGTTGGAAATTTGTATCCCAGTTCGAGAAGCAGATTTAAGTGAAACATCAAAACTGTGATGAATTTAAAAGTAGCATACACAATGACCCAAAAAACTTTGATACCTGTGGGTTTGGGAAGAGAGTTGTCACGAAGAGAGAAACTGTTGGGGTTTTCCGTTTACCGTCGCGAAGAGAGAACCAGTTTTGGGTTAATCGTCAAAAAAGGTGCAAAATTTGTGTGAATCCTCGCGAAGAGAGTCGTCGCCGTTCTCCACGGGTTTAAGAGCGCTCTCTGGGTTTTTCTGTTAATCGCCGAGAGAGAGAAGAAAGTTTGTGTTTTTGTGTGAGGAAGGGTTCCTAAATGTAAACACTTCGCTTGATGGTTAATGCCTTGGCAAAATGAAGTATAAATAAATAAGATCTTACGGACTGACAACTATCCTTCACGTTCTTAGCGGTTAAATAATTCATTGTCAATTGACGAGGTCAACGGTTCGATTCCCCGTGACGTAACCTAATTTTTAACTTCATTTTTTGTTTGTGTTTTTAGGATTCCTTTCCGACAACAGCCTAACCGATTCCTAAATTGTTAAATTAACTTGTTTCTTCATCCAACGTCCATAGATAATTAGTCTTTTACTAAACAGATAATGTCATAAGTTTTACTTTTACATCCGGAAAAAGAAAAAACATTAACCATGTTCAAAATGCAAACTAAAACTACTAACAACAGTCTCCTAGGTCCTACTTGTTGTTCACAAACTGCTCAAAGATGTCGCATACATATTTGGTCTTCATGTCCGCAACACTCATATGAGTAACCTTTGAGAAGTCGTGGCCCCCCGATGATCGACACTCGATCATCTTGACGACATACACGGGACATTCAGTCACCCGGAAACCTATATTGGACAAGAAAAACTCTTCTTCAGTGTGATGGACGACTTTGAATGGTTCCAGATGTCTCTTTGGCTTTTTGTTCTCAGCAATGCCGAGGAGGGTAGGTATCATATCTGCAACAATTACAAATAAGTTTTCATCAACAGGAATCATGTTTTAAGAACACCCCTCCCAACTCTAACTAATGTTTTCCCAAATCACCTCACATTTAGTAAAAAGGAAAAGTGTACCTGCTATCCTCCTAACAATATCCAAGAGTACTCCTTTCTTCTCCCATTGACTATTGCACGAGAAACACTCCATTTGGCAGCTCTTAAAATTAATTTCCACTCCAATCCAGTGGGGAACCATGGATTTAATGACTCTATAGACGACATCTAATCTGTCTTCCACTTCTTGTGCGGGAAAACTGTCCCCTTTACAATGTTTGTAACACTATCAGGGAATGGTAATTTGGTTCGATACCTCTCGAATTTGTCCTGGCATTGTAACAGCTCATAAAAGAAGTCTGTTTTGCAGAATGCAGCTCTAGGGAATTTGTCGTTATTGAAATATGCGCCATGTTCCTCTCTTTTCTTTTGCAACATCATCAACACTGCATTTATTTCCTGCAAGACCTTGGAGTCAGAGTAACCAAGAATGTTCTGCCGCCAATCCGAGAAAGAAGAACACAAGTATTCCATGATTACTTTCTTCTTACCGTATCACGAAAACGAGCTTCAGGATTCTCCATATTCTGGAACAAGGTTGCAGTAGCATCCATATCACCAATTCTGTGTTTTTATTAGATATCGTCAAGAAATTTACGTTACAAAATAATTTTATAACAACAACTCGTTAAGTTTTTCAAATACACTAACCTTGCTGTCTCTCCCTTCTCCAACCACTCTTTATAAGCTGTCAACTGATCCGTTTTCGGTGATTGAAATGGATCCACCGTACATTGTTCGGCCTCCTGTGCGCTCTTCCCCTTAGACTTTTCTGACTTATCCTCACCCTTCTTCTTCTTCTTATTAGCCGGAAGAGCATCTTCATCATGGGGCCTCTTCTCTGATTTTTTCTGCTTTGCATCATACAAATCGCCGGAAGCATTTAGCAAAAGTTTAGGAAAACCTTCCTAATAGTGGTAATGGAACCAGAAATCTTACAGTTTTTAGCTCCTTTGTTTGGGTCTCTTTTTCATTCGTCTGCAAAAGATCATACATCAATTTTTTTAGGCATGAAATGTTTTCTTTACCAAGCGCAAAAGAAAATGTTTTCTTTCTTACTCCATCGTTTCCATCATTGTTTTCTGTTACGGTGTAAGCACTTATGACACTTCGGATTATCTGGAAATAATAGTTGTATACATATGTAAGAAGCAAACGGGAAGCATATTTCGTTACACCATACAAACGAAAAACAAAAACCGTAAAACTATACCTCGTCTGGAGAATCCTCCTTATGTTCCTTCAACGCAAAATCAAAAACAACTGGTTAGTTGTTTTTGGAAACTAAGGTTTTTACAATAATAAGAATGACACAAAATGATATCTAATACCTGATCATTTAAGTTTGCTTGATCATGGATTTCCTCTGAAATGTTTTCAATTCTGGTGGGAAAAGCAGACGTCTCTGTGTTTTTCTGCAGTGTAATTACAAATTAGGTAATTTTTTTTGGAACTGTTCTGGAGAATACAAGGTTTTTGCCACAGTACGAATGATGTACCTGTATATCCACATCCACAGGAGGATCCCACGCCTCGTCCACCCATTCTCTATGAATCCTTTCGTCACTAATTTGGAACTTAACGTTTTTCTCGACATGATGAAGGCGGATACAAACTTCTGGACCATCGAGATGCGCTTGAACATACCCTCTGCACCAGTGGTCATCGTGGTAGGCATCAACGTCTTGTGTGAGTGCCAAAACGTCGGTGGAACAATCTGCTTCAGGAAGAGGAGGCGGTGTAGGACGGATCCGCATCTCTTGGACATTCTCATACTTACCAAGGCTCAAGAACTTCAAATAATAGCTGCAGATAGGACCTAGACCTGGCTGTCTATTTTCCAACGAAGCAGGAAACCACTTGTTATCTTCACCCAATACCTCGACTAGAGCACCTTCCGTCAAGTAAGGTTTAGGACTCGTGCCTGTAATCCCCTTTGCAAGAGCAGCTTTACCAGCGATAAGTCCACAAACTATCTGGGAAACCTATCTGGGAAACCAACATTTGTGTTAGGAATGCCTAACAAGAGGTTAAGGAACCCCTTCCTAAATTATGCTAAAGAAACTTGAAAACTAACATTTTTTTTCGATCTCTTAATTTTGTCCATTTTGTTTGGTCTGGTGCCTGTAACTGCTTCAGTGGAAGTTGCCACAGGCGGTGTATGTACCTGGAAACGCCAACATTTTGTGTTAGGAACATTTAGCAAAGATTAAGGAACGCATTCCAAAAACTTTTCATGTCAAGGAAAAAAGAGAGAAACTAACAGTTTGTTTGTCCAGTGGTATGGACACCTTATTCTTTCCCGGCTGTGATTTGCGTCTCTCTCGATCCAGTGGTATGGACACCTTATCCTTCCCCATCCGTGTCTGGGGCACCTGCTGTGATTTGCCTCTTCTTTCTGCCACATTTTGGTTCATCTGCAAAACAACACACAAAAACGTCAACACTACACATATTTTCTCAAGTATAAGTTTGGAAGAATTCCTAAATTAGTGGAAGGCTTTCATAAAACAGTATCTTGTCTGGCTAATA